AGGGTAAGTGGAAACAAGCAGGTGTGGCAATATAAAACAAACATTTAAAGGAAACCTGGAGACTGGGAAACCCAGGGATGGATTACAGAAATGAACCCAGAAACCCAGCAACAAAGAAAACCAGACATAGACTAAAAAAACAGAAAAACCAAGCAAGGATAGCAAAAAGAGTACTGGATACCAGAAGCCAATGCAGAAAAGATCCGCAGCGAGGAACAGAACGTGATAGTGGGAAAGTTCTTTTGAATTTTCCCACGCTGTGTATAAACCAGCCAATCAGAGTGTTCTTAGCCTAATTGCAGGGCGTGGCAAGGCTTTATAAGCCTTCCCCCGCCCTGCAGAGCTCAGTCTGCGCGGAGCCCTCCATGGGTGAAGATTATTTTTTTTGTGCGCTCGTTTTTTTTTTTTTTTTTTATTGCGTCGGTTCTTATGGCTTTTTATTTGGCCTTTTTTGGGGCTGAAAAAAGAAGATTGTAGAAGAAAGAAAACATAACATGGTAAGTTATTTTTATCTAATTTTTTTTAAACAGGTTTTTAGTTAAAGGTCCCCCCCTCATTATTTTTAGGGTGAGGTGGGTAAGTAGGGAGCTAATTTTTTTGGGGGGGGGAGGGGAGGGGTGACTAGGGTCCCCCCCTTTGTATTTAGGGCCCCCACCTACCGCTGAGGGGTGGGGGCCGGGGGGGACAATAGGCCCCCCCTTATTGTTAATTTTAGGGCCCCCACCCACCGCTCAGGTGGGGGCCGCGGGGGGGGAGGAGAGTATGTCTCCTCCCCCCCCTTCAACCAGAAAGAGTCCCTGGGGGTTTTAAAATTCGCCTGCCTATTGAAGTCTATGGCGGTTCACCCGGTTCGCCCGGTTCGCGAACATTTGTGGAAGTTCGCGTTCGCGGTTCGCGAACCGAAAATGTTATGTTCGCGACATCACTAACTGCTAACTGTCAGTGAGATTTGCTGAAGTAAAGCTGTTTATCGATCTCTCTTCCTCTACGATTCTCAAGAGGTGCACGTTTGCGCCCATCACGGCGGCATTGAGGGAAGCTAACATCCAGTACAAGTGGGGGTTCCCTGCAAAATTACTAGTGAAAAGAAACGGCATCGACAAACCCATCTTTAACCCTGATGATGGTAAAAAGATTCTGCTGGAATGGAACATTCCCATGCAAACAGACCCACCTGCAACAGCATCCAACAGAGAATCTCTGGTGAAAATCATCAGAGAATGGTCAAAGACACCACGTCCCTCAAAATAGACAAAAAACTCTTGAACTTGAGAATACATTGCTGGGCTTGTCCCCCTGTCACACTGTCTATGAGCCAGGCTGTATGTTCAGGTTTTAAAACAGTTTTCAGTTGAACACCTTTTTTTTATTAGATAGGCACTAATTACCATCATATAGTGCTACACCTCTGACTGGTACAATAGAGCTCCACGCTCGACATAGGCCTTATTTATGAGATTGTGTTATAGTCTAATGATACTGTCACTCTGTATGACTACCCCCGGGGTGGAATATGGGTTAAAGCCACAGTTCTTACCGTTGATTGACGCGCTGAACCATAATGGTGTAGTGAACGGAATACTGTACATAGTTACTTCTACTTATTTTTTGTTACACTTTATTTTTTGTTGACATTATGTACCCTCGTCCTCTCATAATTTTGCAATTTAGATCTGACACCACGGTTACCCCTAAGTTGTCTCTGAAGTGCCCAATGGGATACTGTCCTACTGAATTTGTGCAATGTTATTGTGAGATTGACTGACAGTTTTTTCAGTCAATCAATCTCAAGTTCCTGCAGAATCAGAACAATGTTGTACTTTTTTCAAGACAGGCTCCCATTGTCTGCTGCTGCTGCTGCTGCTGAGATAGAGTGAGACAGTGTGAGCTGACCAGTGAGCAGTGTGTTGGTTTGGATTGCGGTTTTGTAAACTACAGGACTCTTAGCTAGTTTCTGGAGCTGTGACAGAAAAATTAATCTAGTCCACTGGAGAGTGGATATTTTTTTCTCCGTTCCCAAATTTGTATTTATTTGTTTTTATAAAACTGTCGAATCTTTTTACAGATTAGAGGAATATGTACTGTAGTGTATCAGAGGCAGACCGTCACTTAGCTGAATTCAATTGTTGAAGTGCTTCTATTTTTAGAGCTGTGTTATTCTTAGGACTTTTTTTTTTTACTATCTAGAGACCTAACTTTGAACACTGACTGAGATGGTGCACTTGCTGCATTGTAAGCTTAATCTTTGTCCAATAGTTCAACCAGTGGAGATTAGCAGTGGAGGCTGGTTCATAGAAGCAGTGGGTCAGCACCCCACCATTTTTGTTTTGCAAAAAATAAATAAAAAAATCTAATTTATTGGCATTGTAAACACTATTGATAATTGTGAAAAAAGAAAAAAAAAACATGCCTTTCGCTTCCAATAAAGTCTGCATTGGATGTTACCTGCGTGCCTGGACGCTTCTGTATTTTCTGTTCTGGGTTTGAATTTTTGCCACCTCTGTCTGTGTGGCACTCAGTGAAGCTCCTTAAGAAAAAAGCATGTGCGTTATTAACTTTGTTTAAAAAATGGACAGTGTTTGCACTTCACCACAGAAATATGAAGATCCCCTAGTGCACAGCAAGTCTTCCAAATGTCCCCTCTCCAGCAGCAGACCCATCTGGTGACACTAGCAGCAAAGGGTTAAGATATATTCTGCTACATGTTGAGGTTATAGTGGTTATTGGTGAAGCCAATATGGTGAAAGCTACCAGAGATGGGGACTTTAATGGTGTGCACTGTGCAGCACATATTTTACATGTGTTGGTGAGAAATGTACTTCACTGACACAGAGGGTGGCAGATTGTGCAGCCTAATAGAGAGATATTGGGCACTCCCACAGCAGTGTGATCATTAGTCAAGAGTTCAGGGAACATCAGGAAGATGCAGGATGGAGTAATGCCATAGACATTGACAATTTAAGTCAAGCCACAGCAAGATTTTGGTGATTCCATTATTTACTTTCCCATAGGCCAACGTGGAAGTAATCCTAGAGAGCCATGAGATTGAACCTGAAGAGATGCTGCATTTAGACATGGCAGGTTTTATTAGGAGGTTGAAGAAGGAATTGAAAGGTCACATGTGTGCGCAGGTGAAATCCCCCTCCTTTGCCAGTGTCAGTGATTGTGGTTCTAAAGGCAGAGGAAGACAGAGTGGAGCGGTAACCATTTGGGCAAATGCCCTTACCAGAGCCATGGCGGGTGGAACCACATCTTCATCATGTGATGCATATTGATTGTAGAGATGTCATTAGCCCACAACTTCAATCCTTACTTTTTGTTTTAGGGGTGTGATAGTCACTTACTCCGTGGGCTTACACACAAAGAGCCTACTGCTAACATTCTAAACTGAAAATACAGTATTTACTCAAATTAATTTTTTTTTAAATGCGCATTAGATTCGATGCGCAAATTGACACAGGTAAAATAAAACTAATTAATTAAAACAGGTGAATTTAAACAGACAAATTAAAACAAAATTGAAATACCATCAGTGTTACTATGGCATTTGGCAATAAACATTTTCATTGTAGCACAATGTTGTACAGTAGTATCTTCTTGTATAAATGCACATTATATTCACCAGCAAAAACATTTTCAGCTTCCAGGTTTCAAAACTTGAGGTGCGTATTAGATTTGATGACGCATTCGATTTGAGTAAATACGGTATATCCCTTATTGGGTGGGAGTAAAGCACAGGACTGTTTTTTTTAACCATTCTTGTATGGACCTAATAAACATTAGTGACTGCCGTCTGCCTGTGCTGCTGCTGTACCACTGTTCTGACTTTAAATTAATTCAATACATTTGCATATCCCCCTTTAAGAGTTGTTAGGTGTCGTAGGGTAGCGCTTTGGTGCTTCGCCCTGTACAGCGTTGCTGTGTTGTTGTTTTTTACCATTCTAGCAGGAGCCTAGTAAAAGTAAGTGACTGCTCGGACTGTCTTCCAGTCTGACACCTCTATCCCCAGGCTCACATTCAAAAACAGTTGGTGCTTCTCTTCTTTTGGCTTAAAAATACTTCAAATATTCCCCTTTTAGGTGTTGTTGGGAGTAGGGTAGCACTACAGTACTTCGTCCTGTAAAACACTGCAATTTTTAAAAATTCTTAGCAGGGTCCTGTGATAGTATTAAAGGAACTGCCTGACCATCTGCCAGTTTGCCACCTCTAACCCGGGCACATGTCCAAGTCTTATTTTAACCGTATGTGCAGTGTGCAAAGTGTGCAGCGCATGCATAATATTGCAAATGCAAATTGCATAACTATTTAGCCATGACTACTAGTAGCCAGCCATTAGCCTTTCTTTAAAAGTAATATTATATATATATAATTTTTTAATTTCATGTTGTGTATGGTTTCATTATTCCTGTCTGTTCCTTTACAATGGAGATTAATGATTAGCTGACATTAGTTAGTTTACCCAAAACGTTAAAAGACTTTCAGCCGAAAAATTCCTCTGTGCACGTCTAAAAAAAGAACAAATCCTTATAGAGCAATGTTTATATGAAGACTTAGTAATAGCATATTAACCATTACAGTAGCTGTCAGTAGGACGTGAGTTAAATATCTTCTAATTCTTCCAACCCAAATATCTTTTTTCTTCAGTCTTTGAGCTGTGGGATATGAGAAATATTGGTAAATACAATCTGATGGCCTTGGTTTTACAAAAATGTTTTAACGTTTCACAAACTGAAACAGAGTGAGATTTGCTTGTTTCTATGCGTTCTTTTAGAAAAAAAAAATGCTTTTAAGCAGCAAAGTGTTGCAGTGAATATGTGGCCCCTTGTGTTGACAAAGTAAATGCTGTGCACAAAATAGCCAGGTATGACTCATCCCTGCAGTAAAAGCTGTTATAAAGGTAGCATTTCCCATTGACTAAGTAAACATGACATTAATCAGAATGCTGTAGAATTCAATGCAAATATTCATGGGGAAAAAAGAAAAAAAGATTTCATACAGCGATGAATTATCTTCTTTTATTTTTATCTTTTATATTGCTAACTGGAATATATTGATGGAATGATTGTCTGATTCAGTTAGCAATTAACATTCTATATAGAGTGATAACAACACAGAGTACATTAGAAAGTGAGACGTTTCTTCTTGAAGATGTGAAGGGTGTGTGAAGGAAAGTTTCAACATCTATATTATTAGGTATCTATCCAACAGCAAGAAAAGGGTAAATTTTAATGCAGTAAAAGGGCAACCAATGAGAAAATACAAAGTATTAAAGGGACACTACGGACACCCACACATGTAGAATACAATTAGTTATGCTGGATACACTTTTACACACTTTCTTTCGTTTTTTGGGGTTTTTTTTTGTAAATAATTTGTTTTGGTCCATAAACAAAACTTAAAGACCTCCTAACAAACTTAAGTCTTTCCCTTTTTTTGCTCCCAAAATACTGCTATATGTGAAGCCATGACTTTCTATTGTTTTTTTCCCAGCAAATGTAAAACATCAAATGCAAATATATATTTTTAAGTGGTCTGGGTGCAGTGGCCCTCTTCTTTTAATCTTGAAATATCAGTTTTTAGAATGTCTGTCAGTCAGTCTGTATATGTGTCTTTCTATCATAATAGTAGCTAGAAAACAAATAGGGGAGGGGAAAATGTTTGGGGCAGGGGAACTCCAACACAAATTTATTAACCACTGGTAAATGTAGGAAATCCAGGGCTCTATGTTTACAAAAGCATGTGTAATGTGGTCTAGCACTCATATAACATGGCTTGTTTAGTGTGGCTTTTTCCCCACTTTATAGGATACAAATTATGGATAATTTTTCCAGTTAGCTATATACCACACTTTCTAGTCGCCATGGTAATTTTAGAGAGAAGTTTAATTTTATTTCTCTCTAATAAAGGGATAACAAAAATATCAGGTCAATGAGAATAAATTTGTGAAACACCCATGTGACCATAGAGGTGAGATTTTGGGACATTGCAACTGCTACTACTGCACACGAGACAGGGTGCCAGAATGACTGCATAAGCGCCAACCAGGTCTGTAATAGTCCAAGTAGACGTGTGGACTGCAGCGATCTTAAATACCACCTGCTCAACATGGGAATACAGGTGGATAATGAGGTTCTATCCAGAGTACAATATAGATGTTTGCAGAATGTTTATGTATTTTCGTTAGGAATGTTTCATGGAATTATGCTTACAAAACTTTTTTTTCTAATTGTCTAAGGAGAACATACATCTTGCCAGTCCTACTATTCCATCTAGCCAACATCCAGTGTTTTAGCAACGGGCTTTATATTTCTTTATGTTGCATTATGTTTTATTAATGAGGCACATTTTACTTGTGATTATGTGTCAATAAATATTTTATGTTTTAAGTGTTTATATAGACTGCATTACTGGGTTTCTCTCTTCCTGTCCACACATTACTGATGTGCAAAATAAGTCATTGAGGAATTCTAATGAACCTCTCCCAAAGGTTTGACTAAAACATGTACTATATGAGAGCTAAACTAGTTCTGAATTTCCAAAATGTATATATAAACATATACTACGAGTGTCCTATTTTTTTCCTTTGTTCAATCTGTTTCTACATTTGTATTTAATTTGTATGCATTGTATAACTGGTTGATTCATTTTAATGACTTTTTATATTTAGTATTGATTTTGTCATAAATTTATTTAACGGTTCTGGTTATATAGAAGCTATTTGGCATTGCCACTAATACATTAACAGTATTATACAGACACCAACTACATCAAGTACATAAATTCTAAAAAATTAAAAAATAAAAGTGTAGGTACACTGGAAACAGAGATGGGCTTGTTAGTTAATGAAGACCAGGAAAAGGCAGACATTTTAAATAACTATTTTCTTCAGTATATATTAATGAGGATCCTATGGCAAGAGATATGCAAATGTTTGCTGCAAAAAACTTGCAGATAACTTGTGATTGGATGACCCGAGACAAGGTGCTACAGCAGTTAAAGAAAATTAATGTAAATAAAGCTCCGGGGCCTGACGGTATTGACCCACGAGTACTTAAGGAGCTAAGTAAGGAAATAAGTGAAACTCTGTATTTAATCTTTCAAGATTCTTTTGTTTCGGGTATTGTACTGGAGGATTGGAGGAAGGCAGATGTCGTTCCTATATTTAAAAAGGGTTCAAAATCCTTGTCTGGAAATTATAGGCCTGTCAGCTTAACTTCTGTGACTGGGAAAATATTTGAAAGGCTATTAAGGGATAATATTCAGGAATTCAATGGAAAGAACTTTGTTATTAGCAATAATCAGCATGGTTTTATGAAACATGGGTGTAACGGAGCTCCCTGTACCTCTGGCTGGGTACCTCCGCCAAGGACTGCTTCCTAGCTGGAACAGGGGACAAACCGCAGAAATTCTGCCCACAGTCGCCTTGGCTTGACTAGGGCCCTGACACCGCTCCTTCCTGGAGCATAATGGAGAATTAGCTCTAGTCCTTACAAGTACTTTCCCCTTTGAAACCCCTGCAAGCTGGAACAGCAGACACAGGAGTAAATCTTCTTTCCCTCCAATAAGTTTTGGAGTGTAAGCTGGAATAGATTTTAATGGAGGCACACTGGCCTTTTATGCAAGTTTCCCAACAAGGGCGACACCCAGGTGGACGTCGTTGGGCACAGAGACACAAAGTGAACAAACCAATAAAAACAGAGTCATACAGTAAGACACTCCCATACACAAACAATAGAATCCCTCCTCTGTGATTGGGAGATAATTGAATCAGGAACTGTACTAATCTAACCTAATTATCTCCAAGCACAGAAAAAACATACAATTTTATGAAACCCCAAATCTGGGTGAACAACATATCCAAAAATCACCCAGATTGGTTCAGGGGTTCAGGAATTTCCTGGAAGTCATAGTTTTGACCGACCGCGAGCATGGGCCCATGCCCAAAACAGTTCCAGGGAAATTAGTGCTAACAGTCGGTCAAGTTCGGTAGTCTTTTACAGGTTTCGCTATAGGGCCCATAGTCTGTAGGCAGGAGGCTGGCAATCAGGCTCCTCCAGGAGCTCGTGGCAAACTCACTTGGAGAGGGGAGTTTGTCACAATAGGTCATGTCAAACTAACCTAATTGCATTCTACAAAGAGGTAAGTAGAAGTATAGATCAAGGTGTTGCAGTGGACGTGATCTACTTGGATTTTGACCAAAGAAATTGGTCTAGATGAATATTCTTGTTTTTGGGTAGATTATTGGCTTAAGGATAGAGTACAATGAGTTGTCATTAATGGTAAATTTTCAAGCTGGACAAAAGTGGTAAGTGGTGTCCCTCAGTGTTCTGTTTTGGGACCGCTTCTATTTAACATATTCATAAATTATCTTGAAATAGGCATTGAAAGCCATGTTTTAGTGTTTGCAGATGACACAAAACTTTGTAAAGTAATAAAATGTGAGCAGGATATTGCTTTGCTGCAGAGAGATTTAGATAGATTGGGGGACTGGGCACTAAAATCGCAGATGCAATTTAATGTACAGAAATGCAAAGTTATGAACTTCGGGCTTAAGAATGCACAAGCAACTTACACCCTAAATGGTAGTGAATTAGGGTTACCACACACAAGAAGGATTTGGGAATTGTTATAGACAACAAATTAGGCAGCAATATGTAATGTCAATCTGCAGTTGCTAAGGCCAGTATGGTTTTGTCATGTATAAATAGGGGCATATATTCTCGGGATGAAAATATAATGTTGCCTCTTTATAAATCGCTGGTAAGACCACACCTTGAATATGCTGTGCAATTTTGGGCACCTGTTCTAAAGAAGGATATCATGGCACTAGAAAAAGTGCAGAGACAAGCTACAAAATTGATAAAAGGAATGGAGCATTTTAGTTATGAAGAAAGGTTAAAAAATGTAAAGCTCTTTAGTTTGGAAAAATGGTGCCTCAGAGGGGATATGATAACATTATACAAATATATTCAGGGCCAGCACAAACCATTATCTGGAAATCTATTCATAAATAGGGCTAAACATAGGACACGAGGTCACACATTTAGGCTTGAAGAAAGGAGATTTCATCTAAGGCAAAGGAAATATTTTTTTTTTTTTTTACAGTAAGAACTATAAGGATGGGGCGTGTCTTGGCCACCATCTCGAATGGCCACCATCTAAAGGAGCTCCTGGGACATTGGGACAATAATGTTCCAAAAGTGAAATTTCTGATTGTATTTGCCTCAACTGAAGCATTGATGTCCTTTTAACAATATCCAGCCAGCATGCAGAAACAAATAAGGAGTGAAAAAAGTGCTTTCAACGCAAAGAAAATTGAAGGCGGTGCTGCAGGGGTGAGTGGGGGCCTTTCAGCTCAGTCCCCTTCATCAACACCAGGATCGTGGTTTATATCACAGCTAAAACCATCATTGGGGCCAGCAGGGAAGCCTCTCCCTCCCTCCCATCAGACCTCTCACACTCGCGTAAACGCCGGTGTGATCGCGACCCGCTCGCGGTGGAACCACGGTCACACTGGCTGCGAGCCCAGAAGGAGACTCCACAAGCTCCAAGCACCTGACAAGCTCGGAGCGTTATGAAACATTACCCGCGAGCGGCAAGGGTTGGGAAATAACAGCTGCGAGTGGCTGTCAGCTTAGACAAAGCCGCGAGAGGCTCAATGTTAAAGCAGCCCAGTCCCTAGTGTATAAGGATGACCGGGCTGAGGGGGCAGAGGCAGGTGGCATGAGATCCAGGTCCCCATCAGTGCCCTCGGCTTCACAACCGTCGCTACTGGTGGGAGGGGTCCCTACATCAGCTTCCACCTGCCTTAAAGGGGCACAACATAGCCCTGAAGAATTTAATGTGGAAATGGGAGAAGAGGAGACCAGTATTAATCCTGGTTCACCATTGCCACAGAGGGTGAAACCAGATGCCACTACTAAGATGGCTGCTATCAGTGATACTTCTGCTGCCACAACTAAGATGGCCACTGCCACCTCCAAGATGGCCACCACAACAATTAAAGCTGCCAGATACAACTTAAACATGCCACCTGAATTAGCTGCAGACTTGCCACCATCGGCTGGCATGTTGATTGACCTTATACAAGGTTTAAGAGCAGATTTAAAAAACGATTTTAAAAAGGATTTCAAAGCAATTTATGGTAGCATGGATGATATTTTCTCTTGGAGTGTAGGTGCTCAGTCTCTCATATTGTTTTTTTTTTGTTATTTCTTATATCTACAATACTCATGGTAGAGTATGGTGCTGAAATTTTACCCTTTAATGTGAGGGGCCTGAACTCTGCACACAAGAGAAGATTATTGTTTAAAGATGTTAAGAAATGCAAGTCTGATGTTGTATGTTTACAAGAGATGCACCTTAAGGCAGATAAAGAAACCAAGTTAATGACAAAGCTCTTCCCAACCCAATTTCACACTGTGTATAAAACAAAGTCTAGAGGAGCATCGATTTTTTTTAATAGGAATGTGGCCTGTTCAAGAGATAAAGTGGTAACAGGCAATGATGAGAGATATGTGTTATGGATAGGTAGACTTAATAATATAGAATACACCATATGTAATGTATACTTCCCGAATACCGGTCAGTTAAATTTTTTCAAAAATATAATGGATTTAGTGACTGAGAATGCATGCGGACACTTGATAATATGTGGTGACACAAATTTTGTTATGGACGACGAGCTGGACAATGCTAGGGAAGATCCCACTCAGTCTCAGAGGAGGGATAGTGACAGATTGGCTGAAAAATGTTCTAGATATATGATTTAATGTGGTTTGTATGATACGTGGAGACTTACGCATGATGGAGAGAGAGACTTTACTTACTATTCTGTTTCAAAATATATGTACTGACGTATAGACAGGTTTATGGTTCAGAGTGCTCTTATCTCGCGCATCCTAAGTTCTGACATTCTGGATATCAACTGGTCAGACCACGCTCCTATTGTAATGCATTTAGACAAGATTATATCCTCTGCCCCGAACCGAACATGGAAATTAGGGGATTATTAAACTAAACGAGGGGGAAAATAGGAAATTGGCAGAAGGGGCTTTGAAAGACTATTTTTTTTACAATGTTTTATCTGAAGTTTCAGGTGAAGTAGCTTGGAATGCACACAAGGCTGTGTTACGAGGCCATTTCATTTCTAGGGCGTCTCACCTGAAAAGAGTTAATAATAAAGACCTGAAAACTTTAGAACAAGAATTATATAATCTAAATCAGGCAAACAAATCTGGCCTATCTACTTCCCTATCAGAGATGATAGGGGACGCTAAGTCAAAAATCAACAAAATTAATTTGGAACGTACCTTTCTAATGGTGAGACGCCTTAGGAAAATATTTTATTTAAAGGGCAATAAGGCCTCAACTCTTCTGGCGTCCAAACTCTGGCATGTGAATGCTCAATCTAAAATAGCCTTTTTGATTAATGATCAGGGTGAAAAAGTTTTCCACCCAACAAAAATTAGTAATCTATTCGCTGAATACTATAGCAAACTATATAATCTTTAGATTAAATTCGGAAATATCCCAGCCTACAGAAGACAAAATTGACCAGTTCCTGAATAAGGTTACACTACCTCGGATACCTGCAGACAAATTGGAGAGTCTAGAACGTGATATTTCAGCGGAAGAGATATCAGGGGCGATGAAATCTATGCCATCATGAAAGACCCCCGGCTCCTCATGGATCTACCCTCTTATACTATAAAACGTTTGAAAAGTTTTTAGTATCCCATTTGACAAAACTATTTAAGACCGGGGGAAGATGCCAGGGGAGTCCTTGTGTGCACAGATAGTTGCCTTACCAAAACTGGGTAAAACTCCAGACAAATGTCCTAATTTCAGACCTATTTCTCTTATCAATAATGATACGAAAATATACTCCGAGGTGTTAGCAGACAGATTAGCTAAACTAATTCCATTGATTATCAATAAAGACCAAGTAGGTTTTGTACAAGGCAGACAAGCAGCAGACGATACGAGGAGGTTTATCAATCTGATCCAACATATTAACTCACTCAAGACACCTTCTCTGCTTCTATCGTTAGACGCTGAGAAGGCATTCGATAGAATCCACTGGGGATACTTGTGGAAACACTGAGCAAATTTAATGTCCCTTTATCTTTTTTATAAAAGCGATTGCAGCATTGTATAATGAACCCACAGTCATGTCAACGCTTCTGGCTTCAGGTACGAGACCTTCTCTCTGTCTAACGGAACCAGACAGGGGTGCCCTTTATCCCCACTTTTATTTGTCCTTGCTATCGAAACCTTGGCCGAACTTATCAGACTTCACACAGAAATAGAAGGTATAAGGTTGGGGGAATCAATACACAAGATAGGACTGTTTGCAGATGATATTATCTTAGCAATCAGGAACCCGAAAGAATCCTTAAGGCACTTGAAAGATATATTATATCAGTTTGGAGAGATATCATATTACAAACTCAACGAAGCTAAAACACAGGCCCTTCCATTTCACATCAACCACTTAGACCTCATGACTCTAAGGAGGTTATATTTATATGATTGGAGAAACGACTTTATAAACTATCTAGGTATAAGCCTATGCAAAAATTTAGCAAAAATGCATACTTACAATTTGAGCAAGGAGATAGAGAGGTGGTGCGGGATGGAGCTCTCATGGCTAGGTAGGATTGCGTCTATTAAGATGACAGTACTGCCAAATTTTTTTTACTATTTTAGGACCATACCCCTGTCTATTCCATTATCGTTCTTTTCAAAAATTAATTCAGCTATTTTAAAGTTTATCTGGAACAAAAAAACAAGTAGAATTAAGCAAACTACCTTGCAACATAGCAAATATAATGGGGGTATCGGAGTACCGGATATCTGCAAATATTATTTTGCTACCAATGCTGCAGTAGCAGTCACTTTCAACAGCAATAGTAACAAAACGAGGTGGTTAGAAATGGAGGAGATCAAGGCTTACCCATTTATACTTAAAGAGGCTCTTTGGGTAGACAAGGAAAAGAGACCTAGAACTACAAAACTATTCCTATCAACTAGAACGTTTAAAGCTTTGGATCTTATCATTAAAATCAACAATTATGCCAGAGGTTTTTATAGAGCAATGCCTCTCACACTGCTAAAAAAACATGTGCCATCTTTTGACATAAATTTCTGGCATTCCTATTCCATAGTCTATTTGGATAACTTTTTTCACGGTAACGCCCTACTGTGTTATAACAAATTAAAATTCAAGTACGGTTTACCGGACGAATCTAAACTAAACTGCTCAGCGATAGTAAATAGTGATGTCCCGAACTGTTCGCCGAACGGTTCGCGAACGGTTCGCGAATGGTTCGCCACGGACTCATCATTGAGTAAACGTTGACCCTGTACCTCACAGTCAGCAGACACATTCCAGCCAATCAGCAGCAGACCCTGGCTCCCAGACCCTCCCACCTCCTGGACATCTCACTATGCAGCTTCACAATGGATGCTGTCCAGGAGGTGGGAGGGTCTGGGAGGGAGGGTCTGCTGCTGATTGGCTGGAATGTGTCTGCTCACTGTGAGGTATAGGGTCAAAGTTTACTCAATGATGAGTCCGCTGCGAACCGTTCATGGCGAACCGTTCACGAACCGTTGGGCGAACAGTTCGGGACATCACTAATAGTAAACAAACTAAAATAATTATTCAGCGTGCCAGAAACAGATAAAAATTACAAGACACTTGAACCTTTAGCTCTGGAAAAAGTTTTCCTGCACAATCCAGGAAGTAAAGGTATTATTTCTATGTGTTACTCTGTCTATAATGCTAAACCCTCAGATAAGATGAGACATATGTTGTCATGGGAGACGGAACTGGGTACACAATACTGTTTGAAAAAATGGTTTGATTTTTTTACTACCCTTAAGGGAATTTCTTCATTTTGAAAACCACTATAAGATTTTATATCGGTGGTACCTGGTTCTGTCTCGACTGCACAACATAAACGATAAGTACTCAGACCGATGTTGGAGAGATTGCAGAGGTAGATTACATGGTGGTTTTGTACAAAACTAGCCGGATATTGGAAGAGGATCCATGATCTGATTATTCAAGTAGACAAAGACATAAGTATATTGACATCAGAACTAGCATTATTTAAGAAATTCCCGGAGTCTGCTTCCAAAATTGACAAAATAATAATAGGCCACATTTTAATTGCAGCTACCACATGCCTACCTCGATACTGGAAGTCTAAGAAATTACCTACGTGTAAAGAAGTATTAACCATGGTTCTGGACAGCAAAGCAAACGAACTGTCTTACAGAAAGAATACAAATTTATTTGCAAAACTTCAACATATTTGAGACAAATGGGAAGAGGACATTAAAAAACCCACCGTATATAAAATCTGAGTTTTGTCAAGTTCAGAAATACATGACCAATGTTTTGTATATTATTTCTTATGTTTACCAATTGGTATGGACTACCTTACCCATTTCCAAGTTTCCCTTCCCTTCCCCCTCGTCGAATAGTATGTTTGACTATTCGCTATTATTTGTTTGAAATAAACTATAACTTCAATAAAAACTATTTGAAAAGAACTATAAGGATATGGCATTCTCTTCCTGAAGAGGTGGTTTTTATCAGAGTTATCAGAGATGTTTAAACAGCAATTGGATAGATAATTCCAAAAACATAACACACAGGGATATAATTTCTAATTAGTGGGGTAATAGCTGCTTGATCCAAGGAGACATCTGACTGCCATTTTGGGGTCAAGAAAGATTTGGAAGCGCTTCAGACTGGGTTTTTTGCCTTCTTTTGGATCAACAGCAAAAACATATGTGAGGAAGGCTGAACTTGATGGATGCAAGTCTTTTTCAGCTATGTAACTATGTAACTCATGGAAACACAGACTGACACTAAACCATTCACACATTCACAGACACAGAAACTGACACACATTCACTGACCCATACATGTTGACATTTGTATACTGAAACACACACAATGCCAGCACATACATATTTTGAGGAGAAGGGGATATCAACTGTCTTTTTACTCCTCCAGAGTTTGAGAGGCTAGAAGCATGCAAAAGGAGACGGAAGAAGTCTGAATTAATATGCATTATGTGCTCCATCAACAAGAACAGCTATAGAGCATTATCAGAGACAAACTCTCTTCCAATGCTCCAACACACCCAGCACCCTGAGACAGCTACCCTCCCTCCCTCCCTTGACTCCCCCCGCTCCTTTGCTACACCTCTGTTTCCATCTGATTTTAATCTGATCTAAGAACTGTCAATAACATTTTTCTAGTAGGTTCCTCCTGGGACATTCTATTTCAGATACTTTATTGTCATATAAAGCAGGGATATCCTGCAGGATAAATGCAAGACTGCACATGATGCTTTACTCTTGGGTAATTCTTTTCCATGGAGCAGGTTTTCGCATACATTCTCCTGCCTCACTGAGCAGTAAAAGGCCATGTGCTGGTTCCTACATTCAACAGCACATAATCTCTTACTGTTCTAAGAGACAAGAGTCACTGGTGAGCGTTCTTGTCGCGCCTGTCCACGTGGATCTGCAGATCTAAAGCAACAGAATTCAAAAGAAAATTGAAATTAGTCATTAGTCAAATTGTATTAAATATAAATAACATATGACATTAATTAATGCAAAGTGAAAACTTGTATTTTAATATTTTATGATCTCGTACATTGTAGTTAAAAATATATGAAGAATTTTTAAAGAGATTCAATCTCAAAACACATGCACATAATCATGTTTATGTTGATCTCATATTCATTCTCTTTCACATAATCACTATTCTGTTTTACAGTCTTTATTCATGGTTGATGTATTCCAGTGAAATACACTAACATATGGTTGAGTTCCCAATTCCTATGCCACTATATATCGTTATCTAAATTAATTTTAGTTATCTAACCATGCATTAAGCTAATTATGGGAATTGCTAGGTTGCAGGAATACCTGTGGTTTGAACAAAAAACAAACTATCTATCTTACTTATACATCCATCCATCAATCCACCCATCATCTAACTATTTATCTATACAACTATCTATGCATCATCTCTCCACTCCCCACCCCTTTGCCATTTTATTCCTAACCAATCTCAACATTCTGCCCATGCAACTACATCCCAGTGTCCTAAACTCCTTCCAATTCACATCTTTATCCTAATGGTACAATCTTCCTCTTCCCATCGCAGTATTACCATTTTCCAGCTGCCTACCCCAGCATCACCCTCTCTCTACCCTAATATTTCCCTCTGCACCACACTACCCCACAGACTTCTTTGCCCACAGTACATCAAAGCTACTGTCCTTCTTCTTTGCCCACAGTCCCCTTGCCTGAAATTTCCACCTCCTTTAATCTTCCATCTTCCCCCTCCATCAATGTCCTCCACATCTACTCCCTTCTCCAAAATCCACCACAGCCATGATGCCTTAAAGTCTAAAGACACCACCTTCACCAATTTCCTTCATTATTTTCAACTGAATATCTTCCACAACACCCCCCTCCTTCCTCAGTATCGTTCACAGCCAACACCTACCCAAGATTCTCCTTAGTTTCCTTACCCAATATCCTCCACAGCCCTACTTCTTCTCAAAACAAAACTTCCTATTTGCTTCAAAGCCTCAGGGATTCAGGTTTCTCTCTAGCTTTTATAAGTTACAGACTGGTGCTTCTTACTGCATGGGTTTCCGGTAAGACTGCTGCACCGATGAGTCATTTTGTTGAAGGTGCTTTAGCAGAGACCTGTGCAGAAGGAAACATTAATTTCTAGCTTATTTGCTATCGGAGTAGTGGATAGATAAAATCTGGGCCCCACATACTGAACTGCAGCCCTTAAACCCCCCCCCACAGTGATACCATCTTTAGCTGTTAAAAACACACAGGAAGCAGTTCGAAGATTTTGAGGTCACTGACCAGGGATGGTTTAACATTGTGTGGCCCTGGGTAGAAAGTTTACAGATGACTCTCCAAACAATTAAACATGTACATAATGTGAATTAATTGTCTAACTGAGTCTTTGGTGTTGTGCACTGAGAATTACAGATTTAAAACCGATTTAAAAAACATAAGCCATGTGTTTACTACACTTCTGGATGAAAGCAAAGTTAGCATTTTAGCATGATGAATGATATTCATTGGATCTCAACTCAGTCCTCATGGTACACTAACGATCTACGATTTAGGCATTTCTCAATTCTGTTCCTAGGGGATTCTATTTAAAGGGACTCTATAGTCACCTGAACAACTTCAGCTGAATGAGGTTGTTCAGGTGAGAACTATAGCTCCCTGCAGCCTTTCTCATGTAAACACTGTATTTTCTGAGAAAATACAGTGTTTACATTGAAAGCTAGGAACACCTTCAGTTGCAGTCACTCAGAGTGAACCAGAGGGACCTCTGAGTTGATGGAGGCATAATATGCCTCCATCCACTCAGATCTGTTGTGCACGAGCATACTGTGATTCAGTATCTCCTCCCACTGCATGCAGACACTGAATTTTCCTCATAGAGATTCGTTGATTCAATTCATCTCTATGAGGAGATGCTGATTGGCCAGGGCTGTGTTTGAATCATGCTGGCTCTGCCCCTGATCTGCCTCCTTGTCAGTCTCAGCCAATCCTATGGTGAAGCACTGTGATTGGATCAGGCTATCACATGTCAGCAGACTGCTTGTTTTTCCTGAGTCTAACAGCATGCAGATTTACAGCTTCTGGCTTGAATACAGTAAGATTTTTACTATATTTATAGAGGCATGAGGGGCCCAGGGGGGCTAGATGGTCGTGTTAACACTATAGGGTCAGGAATACATGTAGTTGCACTGGTGACTATAGTGTCCCTTTAACAAAAACACAGCATATGAGCTTGCCCTTTGGTTAGTCCCTGCTCGGAATGATAGAGATAGCAACCCGGGATGTTTGTTTGTCTTCTTTGGGCCTTGTCAGTGAGATGTAGCTGATACCCCTCTAGGCACAATGTAAATGGGGTCCACATCTGGATTACCTTTTTAAATTAAGATGACACTAAGCAAAAACATTGCAGCAGAAACAGAGAATACGAGAACTCTGAAAATGGGCAAAAGCTCAAAGAAACCTCAGTAGCTTGCCTTTTGGTTAGTTCTCAAAAACGTTTTTGCTCATTTGTGTCATTACAGAGATGACCCATACAATTTGCATGTCAGACTGACTGGCAAATTAGAGCATTCCAGATCCAGATTACAGGCAAGTTCCCTCTGCATGAGAGAGACACCAATCTTGGATGATCATTTTAGCACTAAAAGCAGCTTGACAATTGAGCAGGACCCACTAAAGGGTGAGCTATTTGAGTAGTTGTCCATTTGGCAGGAGGGGGAGGGAGTCCGCTGCACTTTTTGGGGGCGCTGCACTTTTTGGGGGCGGCTCTAATGCACACCTGGCCCTTTGTTTCACGTGTAAAGTGAAATTTCCAGGTGGGCTGGGGCAACTGGTTGTTGGACTGGGCCGTGCAGCCACAATACTGAAGTAATCAGTCAGTTCCTCCCAGCAAACAGGGTGCAGCGTGGAGAGGAGGAGGAGTAGAGGGACTCTGAATGGCTGAGACTCCCATCAGCCTAGGTCAGCCAGCTCCCACTGGACGTGTGTGTATACTGAATTTGTTTGTGTGTATATAGTGACTGTAGAATGTGTGTAGTGGATGCAAAGTGTGTGAGTAAAGTGGATACAATGTTTATAGTGGATTCAGATTGTATGCTTGTGTAGTGGATAGAGTGTGTGTGTGTATGTGTATGTATATGTATAGTGGATGTATCGTGTGTATAGTGAATTGCAGAGTGTGTTTGTGTAGTGGATAGAGTGTGTGTTTAGTGAATGCAGAGTGTGTGTTTGTGTAGCGGATGTAGTGTGTGTGTGTGTATGGTGAATACAATGTGTTTGTGTAGTGGATGTAGTGTTTGTGTGTATAGTGAATGCAGAGTGTGTAATACATGCAGAGTGTGTTTGTGTAGTGGAAGTAGTGTGTATATAGTGACTGCAGGGTGTATTTGTAGTGGATGTAGTGGATGTGTGTATAGAGAATGCAGAGTGTGTAATAAATGCACAGTGTGTGTTTGTGTAGTGGAAGAAGTATGTATATAGTGACTGCAAAGTTTATCTGTAGTGTGTGTTTGTGTATTGAATGCTGTGTGTGTGTTCGTGTATTGGATGATGTGTGTTTGAGTAGTTAATGATATGTGTGTGTTTGTGTAGTGGATGCTGTGTGTGTGTTTGTGTAGTGAATGCTGTGTGTTTGTGTGGTGGATGATGAGTGTGTTTGTGTAGTGGATGATGTGGGTGTTTGTGTAGTGGGTTATGTGTGTGGGTGTTTGTGTTGTGGATGATGTGTGTGTAGTGGATGCAGTTTGTGTGTTTATGTGGTGGATGATGTGTGTGTTTGTGTAGTGGATGAGGTGTGTGTTTGTGTAGTGGATGCTGTGTGTGTGTTTGTGTAGTGGACAATGTTTGTGTAGCGAACGATGTGTGTTTGTGAAGCGAATGCTGTGTGTCTGTTTGTGTAGTGGATGATGCGTGTGTTTGTGTAGTGGATGATGTTTGTGTAGTGAACGATGTGTGTTTGTGAAGCAAATGGTGTGTGTGTGTTTGCGTAGTGGATGATGTGTGTGTTTGTGTAGTGGATGATGTGTGTTTGTGTAGTGGATGTTCTGTGTGTGTTTATGTGGTGGATGATGTGTGTGGTTGTGTAGTGGATGCATTTTGTCTGTTTGATGATGTATGTGTGTGGTGGATGAGTGAAATATGCTGCTGGGAGGTATTTTTTTGCTGTTGAATTTTTATAAATTAAAAAAAAATGTATCCCCCCCTCGCTGCCTCTTACCTGTAGCCATGGAGGGGGGACACTGGATTCCCTAGTGGTCCGGAGGCTCAGCTTGTTGGTCCAGCAAAGAGCGGACCAGCAGTCTCCATCTTCCCTCTCCTTCAGCCAGTGCTTTACTTCTGTAGCGATCCCGGCATGCATTACATGCCACGCAGCATTGTCACGGAAACATGCGGCAACGCTTTACAGCCGCGGCTCACGAGAGTGCCGGAGGGAAAGTTCAGTGTGTCCTGGGCCCGCTTGGAAGCCAGCAGGGCCTGCAGATGTAGAGGCATATATAGCTGTACTCTTTCTATATATATATATGCACATTGGAGGGCGGGGGGGCCGGGCACGGAGAGGATTACCAGTGCAGTCCAGGCACCCCAGGACCGCCGGGTCAGTGACAACCATCATGGTTGTCAACCCCTGATAGTTGCTCTGTAGGTATGTGTACCTATGTCTATGTGTATATGATGTTGTGCATGTCTGTGTATGTCAGTGTGTGTATCTGGCTGTGTGTGTATGTGTATCTGTGTACCTGTGTGTCTGCACACCTGTGTGTCAGTGTGTGTGTGTGTATGTATGTATATATCTG